AGGGGGCTGGACTCAGTGACCTTTCAAGGTCCCTTCCAGTTCTAGGAGATGGGATATCTCCATTAATTATAAAAAAAAGAGTGCCCTTCCCTGTAGGTCTCATCTCCCGAGTCCTGTCAGTGAAACGCTCTAAAACAGTATTCTTGCCAGCATAGAATCATGGAAATGTAGGGCTGGAAGGGACGTCAAGAGGCCACCTAGATCAGCCCCTTTGCACTGAGGCAGGACCAAGTAAACCTAGACAATGCCTGACACGTTTGTATCCAACCTGTTCTTAAAAACTTCCAGTGATTCTACAACCTCCAGTGCTTAACTACCCTTATAATTGGAATATTTTTCCTAACCTGTAACCTAAATCTCCCTTGCTGCAGATTAAGCTGATTACTTTTTGTCCATCCTTCAATGAACATGGAGAATAATTGGTCAATGTTTTTTAGGCCTTAACATATTTGAAAACGGTTATCAGGGCCCCACTCAGTCTTCTTGTTTCAAACGCCCAGTTTTTTTAACCTTTCCTCATAAATCAGGTTTTCTAAACTTTTTATCGTTTGTCCTCTCTCCAGTTTGTCCACATCTTTCTCAAAGTGCGGCACCCAGAATTGGACACGGTATTCCAGCTGAGGCTACCGGGGCCAAGTAGAGCGGGACAGTTATCTCCTGTCTGACATATGACACTTCTGTTGCCCGCAAGAATGGTGTCCACCTTTTCCACAGCTGCATCACATTATTTACTCTCATTCAATTTGCAATCCCCCAGATGCTTTTCAGCAGGACTATCACCTACTCAGTTATTCCCCATTTTGTATTTGGACACTTAATTTTTCCTTGCTAAGTGTAGTACTTTGCACTTGGCTGTTTTAAATTTCATCTTGTTGATTTTTGGACCAATTCTCCAATTTGTCAAGCTTGTTTTGAATTGTAATCCTATCCTGTAAAGTGTTTGCAAGCTTGGTGTCATAAGCAGTTTTGATAAGCATACGCTCCACTCCATTATCCAAGACATTCATGAAAATATTGAATAGGACTGGACCCACCTGTGGGACTGAACTAGATATGTCTTGCCAGTTTGACAGGAAATCATTGATAACTACTATTTGAGTACAGTATTACAACCAGTTGTGCCCCCACCTTATAGTAATTTCATCTAGACTGCATTTCCTTAGTTTGCTTATGAGAATGTCATGTGGAATAGTGTCAAAAGCCTTACTAAAATCAAGGTATATCATGTCTGCTGCTTCTCCTCCATCCACTAGGTCAGTAACCTTGTCAGAGAAGGAAACTAGGTTGGTTTGGCATCTCAATCCATTAAACCCCTGACTCTAATGATCTGGCCTTGCCTTGCAGAGGAGAAGGGTACCAGCCCCCAGGATTACAGATACTACCTGCGAATGTGGGCCAAGGAAAAGTATTCCAAGAAAGAAACCATCAAGGATCTCCCCAAAATGAACCAGGTAGGAAGTGAACTGAGAATGTGTTTCCAGTTAAGCAATTTACAGCAGAGGTGGAGTAAGGCAGGATACAACAGGCTCAGAGTTCTGCCAATACACTTTAATCCTTACTTGCAGCATTACTTGCTGTTTCAATATTTAGAGTTCTAATAATGTCAAACTCTAGTGGTTGTATTATATGGACGTGCATCCGATGGGGGACTAGTTTGAGATTTTACTTATAAACTAAACTGATTTTGTTTCAAACTTAAGACATATTTCCAGTGGTGAAAATCCGGTGCATTTAGCCCTCCTTCTCCTATTAGAACTCTAAACAAAAGCTCCCCTCTAGTGCAGTGTGCTTCAAACATCCCCTCAGTGCCATTCCCCTGATTACACACTGCCTAGGGTTTCCACTACCTTTAGAAGATGGAGCACTATGCAAAATATTGGACTACATATTAGTAAATGAAAACATAAGCTGCTACTTGAGGGCATGATCTAATACAGGATGATCTCTAATAGGAGTCATTGCTTCTTAGTAGGTGGCTCATAGTTTCATCCACCATTGTAGATTTAGTGGAGGTTTCATAGTCTAACCTGTGGTTTCGTTTTCTGTTTTTAAAGGAGCAGTTTATAGAGTTATGCAAGACCCTTTACAACATGTTCAGTGAGGACCCAGTGGAACAAGAGCTGTACCATGCCATTGCCACTGTAGCCAGCCTCCTCCTACGAATTGGGGAGGTTGGAAAAAAATTCTCCAACCGACCCATGAAGAAGACTGATGACTGCAAAGCAAATAATACCCAGGATGCTGTGAGTGAAGAGGAGTCACCAATGTCTGAACACAGTCAAAATTCAGCAGTGGAGCAGCAACCCCAAGCTGACCCTGGAGACGGCGCTTCCGGCGATATCCAGGCTGGAAAAAGCCAGCAGGAAAAACAAACCCCAGGAGATGGGGATGGTGGAGAAGGACCAGGATCTCCTATACAGCTCCTGTCAGACGATGAAACCAAAGACGATATGTCCATGTCTTCCTACTCCATGGTCAGCACGGGTTCCCTGCAGTGTGAAGATATTGCAGATGACACAGTCCTAGTTGGTTGTGAAGCTAGCAGTTCAGCTGCAAGGTATGGCAGCACCATTGACACTGACTGGTCTATCTCCTTTGAGCAGGTCTTGGCTTCCATGCTTACAGAGGCAGCCCTGGTCAACTACTTCGAGAAGAAGGTTGACATTGGCCTGAAGATAAAGGAGCAGAAGAAAGTAGAGAGGCAGTTCAGCTCATCCAGTGACTATGATCTCTCCTCCTCAGTGTCAGGCTGAACTCAAGGAAAGCAGTAATGTCTCAGGTGATAAAGGGTGAGGCTATAGACATTGGGCAGATGGCAGGAGTTTTTTACCGAGACCAATAACTACACAACAACTACAGTAGATTCTGCTGAATAAGTGGCTTGTCACAGTGGCTGTTTAACATACACCTCTCTGGAGACCCTGCTTGGTGGAATTACATTACATTCTCAAGAGCATGAAAGCTATTAGAACCTAATAGCCCCTAAGGCTTGCAATTACCAATGTAAATTATGCATGTCTGCCTCTGGCTATCTTTTTTAAATGAAGTTTTATTTCAAACACAGCCACTCCATGCCCTACCCTCATTTGCTGTAGGTTCCTGGGTAGTTTTGTACAGAAGATGCAGCCCAGCTTGAAACTCTGTACGTCGTTGGCTGCCACTCTGTGATCTAAGCAGTATGTCCAAGTGCTCTAGGTCCTTGGCCTATAAAATAGTCTTATTAGGTTCTTAGATACTGTGCTGTACCTTGGCAGATGTATTGCAATTGTATCCCATTGATCCCAGCATCCTGAGATTTGAATGCAGTAGTTTCTCAGATCTGGAGGCTTCTATTGGATGTGATTTGCCATCCCAGTAGCGTGTGGTTTTTCAACATTTTACAAGAAGGTTTCATGTAAACACTGTTTTCTAAGCCTCTGTTTTTAACTCTTTGACACAAGGAATTGGTGGTTTTGAATTGTGTCTGAAGCCACAAGCTCCTTGGCATTGATGCATAAGAAGCAGTAGGGCTGTAATAGATATTGGGTCTGCCAAGGGGTTAGATCATGGAGGCAAGTCCTGAACTGGAAATCAACTTATTGGAGCCTAGTTGTTACAAGCTGTCGGTACACAGATCTGTTTTTCTTACTCGTGTTGTTTCTCACATTAGGTCATCACAGCCATTAGCTTTTAAAAGAAAAATATCTATGTAATTATATTGTCAGGAAATTATTTACTTCATTTTAATATACTAATGATGGATCCAATTTTTAATAAGATCCATAGTAAATTTGTCGTAAATCAGTCAACTATCAATGTATGACCCAGGTTTACAGAACCCATGTCAACCACTAAATGATCACAGAGCAAACGTATCACTTAGCAGATCAGTTTCTCACTGTGGACAGGACCACAGCAGATCTGATCTATATGAGGCAGAAAACTTACATGAGCACCTGGTGCCACTTGTGACTGTTCCTTGTAGCCTCTCTGAAGTACAGTGCTTTCCAGGAGCCTGTGCATCTCCAGGCCTCCTGTACAACAGGAGTCCAAAGAGCTGTTTACCCCTCAGTCCTGAGAAGTAAAGCAAAAGCGTGAGGAAAGTTGTGGTGTTCTCCTCTCAGCCATCACTCTAATAGCTGAAATCTGAACAGACTAGCTCACCCGTAAGTTTAAAAGCTTACATAGCTGGAGGGAGTGCCACAGATTACCCTCTGCAAATTAACTGTGGACCAGCGGAAAGTAGATGCTCCATTTGGGAATGGTAACCTCCCTGTGGGAGGGCCTCGCCTCCCAGGAAGCATCATTTCTTTTCATACAGACATATTCATCTCATTACAAAAGCATCTGTGTTCCAGTGGCATGTGCCTCATTGGCAGAGAGTGAGAATGTTGGCATGTGGCTGGTGCAGACCCAGTACTGAGGGTGAGCCACATTGGTGCTTCAGGCTGGTGTTCAGAACAGATGGGGATGACAAAGACTGGAGCCAGCTGATGGATGTTCCCAAGAAAGGTACCATTTTATGCGATGTTCAGTGTTACTTCCTTTTGTGGTGTTCTCTCTGTATTCACAGCCAATGCTATATTTCTTAATTCTCTGCCTCCTCTGTCATGCACCTCTGGAGAGCAGCTCTAGTAAAATTGCTTTTATTAATTCTTCAGTAATTTATTGTAATTTTTTTAAGTACAGATAATACATGTGATTTTACATTGTCTGTGTCTGATCTGTCACGTGCTCAATAAATGAACCAGAATACACACACAGCCCTGGACTGGCTTCCACTTTATCAGCTGAACACTGCTTACCTTCAAGGTGTCTGAGCGTATGATTTTTTCCTCACTCCATAGCTAGGTTGTATGTCTGTGATTGTTGCCTAAGGCAGTAGACCCAATGGCTGGCCTGTGTCACCTGACTTGGGCTCCAGGGTCTCGCTTTTCTCTCCCTATCCCTTCCACACAAATCCCATCTCCCTCACAATATCAATGCCAGGAGACTGCAGTTGCACACAGATTAATCGCTGTGGGGATGCAAAACCATGTCCCTTCTCTCTGGATTGCAGTGGTCACCTTCATGATTATTTTAATCAAGGTAGGTCTGCGGCTTCTATGGAGGAGCCTTTGCCAACTACTACAGCAGTCCTGGGGCACTGAACAACTTAAACATTTGTTTTGTTTTTTATTGATTTTGGACTATTGCGGGGAGGGATAACTCAGTGGTTTGAGCATTGGCCTGCTAAACCCATGGTTGTGAGTTCAGTCCTTGAGGGGGCCACTTAGGGATCTGGGGCAAAATCAGTACTTGGTCCTGCTAGTGAAGGCAGGGGGCTGGACTCAGTGACCTTTCGGGGTCCCTTCCAGTTCTATGAGATAGGTATATCTCCATATATTATTATTATTATTATTATACGTGTTTCCACATGGAAGCAAGTTTTTTGAGTTAAGCTTACACCAAGAATTTTGGCTAATAATCCAGAGGATACAATTTAGGGGTGATTATATTACAACTCCAAGGAACCACCATCAGGCATAAGAGATGCACTGTATTGTGCCAGACACTGTATGGACAAGTTACAAAAGATGGTTCCTGTCCCAGAAAGCTCACAAGTGTAGGTTTTGGACAGACTTCAGTAGGGGACAAAACAAACTAATAGGATGGGGGTGGGTTGGGAGGACATCAACAGCAGAAACACAAGTTGCAGCTTGCACTTGCCTAAGTCAGCCAGCAGTGATTTGTATGTTTTAGGGCAGAGGTAGGTTTTAAGGAGGGATTTAAGAGGATAAAGGTCTCACATTTTGATGGGAAGATTTTCAATACACAGCTAGTGGCGTAGTAGAAAGTATGGAGGTGCCTTAAAGATACACGGACAATTGATGTCGGCATCAATGCAAGAGCAAAGGTGGGGTAATTGACAGCTCAGTACTTTAGATCGGATAGGCTGGGGCTAAATGGTAAAGGCAAGAATATCTAATACAGTAGAGATTGCAAGCCAGGAAAGACTGAAAGGAGTGGTGTGGTCAAAGAGAAGAGCCAGCAGCATTTTGAATGGACTTGGGAAAAATATAACTGGTATCAAGCGCAGAGAGGAGTAGATGACAGTAGTCAAGGGATAAGGAAAGGGCCTGACTCAAGACAGACAGAAATGGCAGAGAGGAGAGGTCAAGGCAGATTATGTTGATTTTCTATTTGAAAAGGTCAGAGAGATCCTGTGCAGAAAGGTTTTTGGACGCTTTCCTGCTTTTTGGTTCTTAGGCAAATTTATGGCTGATATTTAGAAATAAAAATTTTACACCCCCCCCATTACATTAAAAAAAAAAAAATCTTCCAAAGTCACATGGAATAAGCTGCCAGCAACTCTGGGTGGGCTTATATGCCCTCCAGCCCACTCTTGCTGGGTTTTCTCCTAAAACTGGAAATTCTAGTAATAACTCTTTGTAAGTACTATATAGAAAGATTCCTTGTTGCCTATATCTATACTTAAGGATTTGTCTGACCAAGGAAGCTATAGTTATTTGGCATGTACTCCTGTGTGATCTGAAATAGGGGAATAGAAGAGCTTCAAATCCTGAATATTTTTTTCTCATTAAAATCTTATGTCAGCTGCTTCTATGGAACAAACACACTTTCTGGGTACATAGATTCTGGGCATTTAAACTGCTAGTGTGCTCATGAGTAAACAGAGGTCATTAAGTAGCAAGGAGGACAAATGGTTGTCTTCAAAAAACATTGGGAGTGAGGAAGAGCTTATGGGGGGAAATTGATTAAAAAAACAGGTTTGAGGATTCTTAAAGAACGTACACCAACCAGCCTGGAGGAGAGACAAGCTGGGATATGAAGGAAATTAATGTTGGTGTGCAGCACCTAGCACAGTGGGGGGCTGATCTATTATGGGTTCCAAGATGCTGCAGCAGTACAAAATAAAAATAGCAAATAAACGTACTTTACCACTGATGACTGCATTTGAACAGTCAAGGAGCTGTGCTAATAGTAAAGAAAAGCAGTTTTAGTACCAGTGGGGAAGGAAGAAAATGGTACTGCTTAATCCCATAAAGAAACCAAACATCTAGAGGTTATTGGACCCATCAACACTAAACTGCATGGAATACTGCCTAATTACAAACTAAATGGATGAAGAGGGAATCCATTTAACCAAGCACTTGATACCCAATGTCTCACATTATATACCCAAAAGCAAATGAAAGATCTGGTTGCTTGTGAACACTGATAGAAAATTGCTGGATGAACCTTGAAGGTGTAATGACAAATATCAGTCTGAGTTGGGGGAGGCTTCTTGTGAGGTACCAAAGGTATCTGATTGATTATAGAATGGTAGAATTTAGGACTAACCTAGAATAGGGCCCGTTGATGCTCGGCCCTGTACAAAGTTAGATAAACAACCCCTCCCCCAAAGAGTGTCCAGTGTAAACAGACAGAAGAAAGGGATGCAACATGCAAGCAGAGTGATGGCAAACGTTAGGGTGGAGTTCAGTTTGGAGGATGTGCTGAGCAGAGAGACATGGCAAGGGAGTGGGTAAGAGCCAAGGCAGGGGGAAGGAAGGAGAAAGCATGCAGAGCAGCAGGAGTGGGGCGGAGGTGAACAGCCACGGGGGACGGGAGCACCCAGCTGCTCTTATTGACAGGTCAGTGCTCTGAAGGCGGTAGAAGCACCCAGAGGCCGGTTTTACAAATTGCAGAGACCTGAGCAGGGAAAACCACCCGGGCTTTCAGGCTGGTGTTGAGCTGCAGTTCCTCAGGTAGCCACTGGGCGGCAGGCACATAAAGCGGCGAGACCGGCGAGTACACCCAAAACACCCGTGGGGGGCCGAGCTCAGCCCTCCCCGCGGAACTCCCTTCCCTCCGCGCCGCCCCCCGCGCGGGGCTCTGCCGGGGGAGGAGGGGCCGCCGCCGCCATCTTGCCATTCCCCGGGCGGGGCTCTGCGCAAGAGAAGCCTCAGCCCCTCCGGCAGGGGGCGGGGTTGGAGGACTGGCGAGGAGTAGGTACCACAGAGCGCCCCGCTGGCAGGGGGACTGTCTCTCCACCGGAAGTAGAGGCCAGTGTGTGTGACCGGAAGCCGGGAACGAACGGCGGGTGCCGGGGGAGGTTCCCCGCGCGCTGGAGGGGGTCGGCGGAGCTCAGCTCAGGGCGGCCGCTCACGGGATGGGGCAACGGTTCCAGGTGCTGAGGTGCTGCTCCTGCGGCACCTTCCAGGTCCACCAGGTGGGGCAGCTTGAGGAGTTCAGGGGGAGGGGCCTTGGGGGGGGTCCTGCGGAGGGTTCTCGCCCGGGGGGGGGCAGGTGTTGGGCGGGTTCTGGCCCGGGGGGGGCGAGGTCTGGGGGGCTGGCCCGGCCCGGGGGGGCTGAGGTCGGGGCGGGGTCCTTACTCCTGGGGGAATTCTGCACCAAACATTTAAAATTCCGCATGTTTTATTTGTCAAATTTATACAATATAATCACACGAGTTTCAGTTACTTTGGTCATTTGTTTCAAAATACCTGTCAGCAAGTGTGTCTGTAACAATACAGACAACCAAAGAGATGGTTTTTGACAAATAGATGCCGTACTAGGTATATTAATACTAGGGCTGTCAAACAATTAAAAAAATTAATCGTGATTAATCATATGATTAAAAAAATTAATCGCGGTTATTCACGTTAAAAAATGATAGAATACCATTGATTTAAACTTTTTGGATGTTTTCAAATATTGATTTCAATTACAAAACAGAAAACAAAGTGTACAGTGCTCACTTCATATTTATTTTGTATTACACATATTTGTGCTATAAACAAAAGAAATAGTATTTTTTGTAATACAATTTCTTTATCATGAAAGTTGAACTTACACATGTACAATTATGTACAAAAATAACTATTCATAAATAAAACAATGTAAAACTTTAGAGTCTACAAGTCCACTCAGTCCTACTTCTTGTTCAATCAATCACTCAGACAAACAAGTTTGTTTACATTGTCAGGAGATAATGCTGACTGCTTCTTGTTTACAATGTCACCTGAAAGTAAGAGCAGGTGTTCTCATGGCACTGTTGTAGCCGGCGTCACAAGATATTTATGTGCCAGATGCGTTAAAGATTCATATGTTCCTTTATGCTTTAACCACCATTCTAGAGAACATGCATCCATGCTAATGAGGGGTTTCTATAACGATCTAAAGCAGTGCAGACTGACGCATGTTCACTTTCATTATCTGAGTCAGATGCCACCAGCAGAAGGTTGATTTTCTTTTTTGGTGGTTCAGGTTCTGTAGTTCCCGCTCTTTTAAGACTTCTGAAAGCATACTCCACACCTCATCCCTCTCAGATTTTTGGAAGGCACTTCACAGTCTTAAACCTTGCGTCAAGTGCTATAGATATCTTTAGAAATCTCACATTGGTACCTTCTTTGCATTTTGTCACATCTGCAGCGAAAGTGTTCTTAAAATGAACAATGTGTGCTGAGTCATCATCCAAGACTACTATAACTTGAAATATATGGCAGAATGCGGGTAAAATAGAACTGGAGAAATACAATTCTCCCCCAAGGAGTTCAGTCACAGATTTAATTAACGCATTATTTTTTTAACGAGCGTCATCAGCATGGAAGCATGTCCTCTGGAATGGTGGCCGAAGCCTGAAGGGGTATACAAATGTTTAGCATATCTAGCACGTAAATACCTTGCAGTGCTGGCTACACAATGCCATGTGAAGGCCTGTTCTCACTTTCAGGTGACCATTGTAAATAAGAAACCGGCAGCATTATCTTCCGTAAATGTAAATAAATTTGTTTGTCTTAGTGATTGATCGAACAAGAAGTAGAACTGAGTGGACTTGTAGGCTATAAAGTTTTACATTGTTTTGTTTTTGAGTGCAGTTACCTAACCAAAAAAAATCTACATTTGTAAGTTGCACTTTGACGATAGAGATTGCATGACGATATTGTCTGAGATTAATTGAAAAATACTATTTCATTTATCTTTTTTATAGTGCAAATCTTTGTAATAAAATAATAATATAAAGTGATCACTGTACACTTTGTATTCTGTGTTGTAATTGAAATAATATATTTTAAAATGTAGAAAAACATCTAAAAAATTAATAAATTTCAATTGATATTCTATTTAACAGTGTGATTAAAACTGCGATTAATCTCAATTTAATTTTTTTGAGTTAAGTGCGATAATTAGGGTTGTAGATTAAATACAGAATTTGAGTAATAATTCTTTTAAACTACAATACAGTAGCTTATTTACTGCACCCCTCAGAAGCAGTTCAAAGGCTTGGGGAAGTCAGGGTAACGGAGGAGCTGAGGGAGAGGGAAGTAATTGCTGGGAAGAATCCTAGGAGTAAACCTGGAGAGTTGTTGGGTGTGGGTGGGAGAAGTATAGAACAGTTGGGGTTTTTGGGTGCGGGATTGTTAGGGAGTTGGGAGCCTCCCCTATGCAAACTCTGGCTGACCCCTAGCCTCTCTTTCAGTCAGGCACATCTGCCCCCATCCCCATGTGGCCCTGCACCCTTACTCAGCCGCCCCTTGTGTCCCTGAGCACCGCTCAACCACCCCCGTCCCCTTGTCTCCCTGCACCCCGTCCCCTTGTGTCCCTGCATCCCCGCCGAGTCGCCCCCGTTCCCTTGTGCCCTGCACCTATTCAGCCCCCCACTCCAGTCTGTCCTCCCACACTAGCCCATCAGAACCCTAGTATGTGACCCTCCCAGCAGCCCTGTGTGCCTCGCTCTGTCTGCCCACCCCATATCCCATGCCTCCTGACCTGGCCCCGCATGCAAGGGACTGTGAGGAACGTAGCCTTGTCTCCCTATTGCCTGCTGGCTGCAGTGGCCCGTAAGCCAGCTGCCCTCTGTTCTGGTGCCAGAGCAGCCTCTGGTGGGCGAAAGGCTTAACTGCAGCGCCTCTCCAACATAATGTATTTTCTGCAGTGGAAAAAAAAATCTGCAGGGAATGTGAATTCTGCATGTGCGCAGTGGCGCAGAATTCCTCCAGAAGTTGGTGCTTGGGGGAGGTCTTGGCGGGGGGGTCCTGCATGGGACTCTGGCCTGGGGGGTGGTGAGGTCTTGGGTTCCAAGAGGGTTAGGGTGGGGAGGGGGTGAGGTCTTGGGGGTGTTCTGCAGCGGCTCTGGCCAAGGGGGTTCTATAGGGGTGCTCTGGCCTCAGAGGGCTGAGGTCTGTTGAGGGCACTGCAGGGGCTCAGAGATCTGTCCAGGTGAAGGGAGACAAACCGCAGCAGCCAGTGTTAGCCTGGAGCAGTACAGGTGGGTGATGTCTCCCTATGTGCTGGGCAGTTGGGGGCTGAAGGCAAATGGCACATCCCTGCTATTAGACTCAGTGCTGACTGCTCTCCTCCAATCATTCTCTTAGGTTAAAAAGAGCAAAAAATGGAGCTGCAAAGTGTGTGGTGAGAAGCAGATGCTGCTAAAGGTGAGTGTGGGGAGACTGTTTCTTTGTGTCATGCTAGAGCCAGAGCGAGGCCTCTCCAGCATCTCAGCCCTCATCTCTGTCTTAATTTCCTTTTCAGGCCTATGGCCAAGGCTCTGGGTCTGACTGTAGACGCCATGTCCAAAAATTAAACTTGCTGCGGGCTGGGACGGAGGTGGCAGCTGAGGGAACATCTTGGTAGAGTACTCAGTATTTCTTATCTGTTCCTTTATTTTAATATGCAAGTCTCAATTAATGTGCTCAACATATCAGACCTCTAAATGGAAACTACCTAAGCTGATCTCTGGAGGGAGTGAATTTCTTACAGTTGCAAAGATGTGGAACACAGTCGTGTCAAGCAGATCTTAGGGACAAATTATCCATGGAACATATTGTCCTAACCTTGTTTTTTCACTAGAAGTCCTGTCAAATAAGTTCAGTTGATAAATTGCACAAATTGCGTTTACATAGTTCACATGCAAAAATGCAGTGGATGATCTTTGAAACTGGCCCTTCTTGTTTACTTCCTGACTGACTGTTGGAGTGGTGACCTATTGCATACTCTGTTAAGCAGTGTTGGATTAGTACTGTCAGGTTGGGAGGCTAAATGAAAATCCCCACCTCCTTGTTTGCAGTGTTGGAATTCAAGTAGTTTCCATTAAGTATCAGTGAGCATTCCCCCCTGCTCGTGCTGAGAAGTTTGTTATTGTCAGCAGCATGGGTGTAATGGCCACTGTGCTGGAAAATCTGACTGGTTTTCTGTTTCCGCCAACCACCCAGTCCACTTGCAAATATCTGGGAAATGGGCGTTACTATTTCCACTGGTAAATCTTATAATTCACATCTGCTGTTCTGTGGACTTGTTTTCCTACATATATTTGTTCCTGCTCTCTGTCCCTGGTGCTAATGGTTAGGTGCATATAGATATAAGACAAATACCCTAGGAACCCTAGACTAAATCTTTTATTTTTAGGTATATAGAGGAACCAGTGAATAATGACAAAGAGAACACAGGAGTTCCACAGGAAGAAAACGTGGGCTGGCAGGTAAGACACTATGAGACAAATGGTATCTACAAAGCTAAATCAAACACCAACCAATTGTAAAGTAGCAAAGAGGGTGCCATGTAGTGCAGCGGCCAGTGTTCCCTCTAAATTGTTCTGAAGACTGTGTGCTATAAAAAAATGGAGAAACTAGCCCGTGAGTGAGGAGGCTCCAGGACAGTGTGTGAATGGAAAAGGATGTGTGGAAGCTCTGCTCCATGATGATGTTTTGGAACATAACCACTAATACAGCTCAGTTTGGGATCTCTTCCCATGAAATGCTGAGCACACTCAATTCTTATTGAAGCCAATGAAAGTTAGGACTTTTAGTATCTCTGTGGTGACTCCACCTGTGGGGGCTCCTTGGAGGAGTCATTCTGAGTCATTCTACAACATTGTAGGAAGAAGATGTGGAATTCAGTCCCTTGGTCAGCCGGTGGAATAAGTATCTGGACAAGGACAGTGAAGATCAGGAGGAGGAGGTGTATACAGACAGAGAGCAGGTGTACTCCCATAAAAAGAACATTGTGGAAGAACAAAGGTGCAAAAATAACTTCTTCCGTAAGGCTTATTTTAGCTTGATGGTGGGGATTTGTTGGGCAGTATTTTGGGCAAGTTCACTGAGGCTGCAGTGACCAATCCAAACTGACCTGAGGAGTGTTGGGTACTTGGGGATGAAAACCTCACCTCTTGGCAGATCTGCACTTTTTTAATCTATGAAATTTCCCATCTGAGCTAATCTAACATCTCTATGAATTCCCATCTCCTGCTCCCCCACCAGGAAACGCAAGAGCAGCTTCTACCACAACGATGCTCTGGAGTGCTTTGAGGAAAAGGGAATGTATGGGCTCACTGGCCAAGCCAAGAAAGTCAAAACCTTTGAGGTATTTTGTTGTAGCAAATGTTTCCTACCTCTAAATTATTTTCTTTGGCCTTGTGTGTGTGCTTCATTCAAAGGTTGTTATAAAAGTCATTTCCCCTCCTTTCCCCCACCCTTCCATGTAACCATCTGTTTCGGGGAGGCAAGAGGACTAAATCTGCATAACAGTAGTTTAGCTTTGAAGGTTATAGTTAGGCAAATATAGTGCTGTTTCTGTGTAAACTAACCCCCTCTGCCTGAGTCTCCCATCAGTACCGCATGCAGTGATTGCATGCTCCTCCCCAGTAAGTTGGCTATAGCTTAGAGCTGCTGTCAAAATCTCCTGTTAGCCCAGCTACTCTACTGACTTTCCTTATTGACCTTATATAGTATGGTAATAGGGGGGTCATGTAAGTATCCTAGCACCTCACAACCTTATGTATTTATCCCTTGTTCAGAATGGGGATGTGCTAACCATCCCCATTTTACAGATGGGGAACTGAGACACTGAGAGACTAAGTGACTTGCCCAAGGTTACACAGGAAGTCTGTGATGGAGCATGGAATTGAACCTGGATCTCCAGTTCCCAGGCTAGCACTGGACTTGGCTGGCCTTCCTCGCTGCTCCTGGTATCATGCTTTCCTTGCTTTTGCCACAGTTGGGCAGTGACTGCTTGTTGTATCAAGCAGTAACAGTGTAGTGGGTGGCTCTGGCCCTGTTGTGCAGGAGTCAGTCAGAGGGTGGTTGTCACGAGTATCGAGTTTGCCGAATATGCAGTCAGTGAAGAGATTTCACAAATAATTCTTTACTCTGCCCCTTTCTTAGTTCAGTTTCATTTGCCCTATGGTTGAGAGGAGTGAAATACAACTTCAGTAAATAAAGGGCCAACCTCCAGCCCATAATTCTTCCAAGCAGGCCTCCTTTTTCAAACCAGGGATTGGATGAAACTGCACCCTGGGCAGCTGACTAAAGAAGAGTTGCTGAGCTACACCCAAACACCAAATGTCCTGGTTTCCTGAGCTTTCCCAGTCTGAGCACTGGTTGTAAACCATTTTATACCAGTATAACTATATTTAAGTTAGCGATGTGAATTTTTTTAACCAAAATAATGAAATCAGTATAACTGCTAGTGTGGACCCCAGTTTAACAGGTGCTTAGTGGTGTAGCTTATTCCCTCATTGAGGGGAGGAGAAAGAGGCTGGATGGTTTAAAGCCTTGGACGTGGGAGACCCAGGTTCAGTGTCCTGCTCTGCTAGACTTCCTGTGGTACCTTGGGGTAAATCACTTAGGGTTAGTGTTCTCCATCTGTAAAATGGGAATAATAGCACTGCCCTGACCCTGGGGGTATTGTGAGGGTAAATACATTAAAGATTGTGAGGCACTCAGATACTACAGTGATGGGGCAAGATTGGTACCTAGAAAGATAGTGTATAGACAGCCCAATAGAGGTCAGGAGAGCAAACCAGCAGGGTTCCCCTTTCATCTGCATATTTAGGATTATATGCTGGTGACTAATTAAGTGATGTGTAAGTGAAATGAAATATTTGGAAATACTTAACCTCTAGTGAAATACAATTTCAAAACAGCTCCTATTCTTTGGACAGTAGAGCTGACCTGGGCAGAGTGGGTTCTGCTTCATGACTGTTCTTTTTCACCATACGTCAGAATAGCTGGCTCTGTACCAATCTCACCTCTCTCTGGAAAGTGAAGTGATGAGGAATAACAGTGAGCCTGGTTGGAAGAACAGGATTACTTCTTGCATGTCTGTCTTGTCAGTTCTGTGTTCACCAGGCTCACTGCAGTTAGGCTATAGCGCCAGCAAGCACCACCATTTTGTTTTCTTGTTACAGAGCAGGAAAGATTCACCAACTGTAGCTGACCAGGCCTGCGGAGATTATATATGTAACAGCGTTGTGGTACCTGAGAATACACCAGCTCCAGAGTCAACTAATGTCACCGTGTCCAAGTGGGGAAAATTTTTCCCGTCTCCTAGCAGCCATAATACTGGTTACATAACCCTTGCAGCACAGATGAGCAGTTGGAAATTAGAGACACAGAGGGCTTCTGCAGGAAACTTTCTAATGTCTGATGGATATCCACAGCAGGAGGAAGATTCTGAATCTCCAGGCACAGGTGCCCAAACTGAACAGAGCTTCACTAACAATAAGCGTACAGCACAGAAATATGCCTCAAAGCTTCATAGCACCACAGTGGCTGCCAGGGGGCAGACTGCCTTTGACATCAGTCATGCAGCTATTGGGGATGTGCTTTCTGGAAAACGTAAGGACTGCCTGAGTAGGGCAGCGTCTGGTGTTGCAGAGAACAATGAAGGCAGGCAATGCTTGGCAGGCACTGTGATGCCAGCGAACTGTTTATCTAAGGATGCTGTGACCTTTACTTCTACAGATCCTTTTGCTAGCTCTACTGGGGTGCCTCAGTGTCTTACTGCTCCAAGTAGCAGCTTCTTTTGCACAGATGATGATCTTTGAAAAGTTCCAGGCTCTGCACTTTGACTTTCTTGCCCGTTCTCCTCCCCCTCTCCCGGTGCATGATGACCCTTAATGCCTGTTGGTGTCCCTAGTTTAAGGACAGAGTCTCACTTCCTCACCTTCTTCCAAAGTTAGAATTAACATGGAATGAATTTCCTAAAGGAAATATCCATAATCTTTCTCTGATGTTCCTGTATGGAGAAGAAAAACTGACCTGAGACTTTCCTTTCAGGTATCTGACTGTTCAGAGCAATTATTGTGGGGTTTTACTGTTCACAAGTAACAGATTTTGTTTGCAATACAATAGGTTCCTCTGGTAGTGCCTTGTACTCTCCTAGTGGGTGTATCTGAGGAGGAAGTTGAAAGGTGGGCTCTTGCCTGGCCAGAAGCATGAGCTGTGCTTTTCCCTATAGGTCCAGAGGCAAAGCCCTGCTGCTGCATAACTGTCACTGGCTGTAGTAACCCTTAGGAGAGCCAATACTTCACTAAGAGCACTGCTAGGCCCTGCTCGTGGAGGACTGGGTGCTTCTCCCCCTCTTGTATTGGAGATCTAATGTTTTGAAAGGTTAATTCCAGAGACAAATGAACTAAGTGCTTCTGTGTCATTACCCCAATTGCTCTTCTTCCATTACAAATTAATAAAGAACACTAGTGTGCAGAAAGAGGCCTGAGCTTCTACCACACTTCTCTACAACTCAACTAGGAGCCCTCACTCCTGCATTGACTGTTTTAATAGTAGGGCAGACCTGATTCAAGCTAGTCATTCCTCCTAGGGGGAGGGAGGAATTTACTAAGTGAGCTGGGAAGTGTAGCTATTCTCTCCAAGGGCTTGGAATTTGCTTCTGGACTAGCAGATGCTATTGGGTTGCTGGCAAAATAAGGCAAGAACCCTCCTCTGATACTTGTGTAAACAGATACTAAGGCAGAGGGTTGGTAGAGCCCTGAGAGCTGAAGCTGGGTAGTCCAGGGATCTCATTGTATGAGAGCGCCTCCTTACTGTAAGCTTCTGTCAATCCAGGGCTGCTGTGCGTTCTGGAGTAGGTGCCACCACAGTTGTTTGTCATCTCTCTAAAGAGAAGTTAATCCTACTCTCTTCTAGAACTCTTGTCCTCCACTCTTTATCGAGGATTAGATCTATACCTACAACAGTGCTGGGTGCTTGAATATTTGCTGTAGCATAAAAAGCAGTTCCCGTCTCAGCAACAGTCACAGCTTCTAGAAGAGTGAGAGACCACTGATTACCTTCTTTACTTTGCCCAAGTCCTTGAGTTCTCCCCGGTTAGATGTTCTTCCTAAACTAAATTCCAGCCAAGATGTATTAGTGCGTTGCAGTTTGTCCCAGGAGCGGCTAGGTTACCCTACAGATTTTACAGTCAAATAATCTGATATTTCACAAATGAATAATTAAAGACAGGAAATATTTATTTTCCCCACCATGGAAACAGAAAAAGACAACAACCGCTCTGCTAGGGAGACAAGCATCAGTGTAGAACTGCTGTTCAGTTTTCATCAGTTCACAGGAAAGTGCTCTAGCTTACACAAATGCCATTAGGAACGAGGTGGTTGCTTGGAATACTGGATGGTATCCAGTGCTGCCCCAATGTCATATTTCTTTGCCTGTAGGAGACGGGTCAGCCATCCACCATCATCAGAGAAACCCATGGAGAGCATCTGGGACAGAGATTCAATCAGACGGGGGTCTGCTTCTGTTAAATCAAAAGTTATGAGTACAAAGTGGGATTATACCTACAGTTTAACAAACAAAGCAAGGAGCTGATGGAACTTGTGCTGTACCTACATAGCAGCGATCAACAGCACCATGTTGTATAGCTAGTTACTTATCAAGGATATATCCTTTGACCTGGTTTCCTAAAGAACTTAATTCTTGATGCCGTATAGTTCAACAGCACATGCCTTATTGTAAATGCATGATCAAACTTGACTGCAGCCATTCTTCATGTAAGAATGCTAGAGATCATGCGATGGCTATTATGGCCCAGAATTCCATTACTGGCTCTCCCTAGTAAGGGCCATCTCACTCTTATGAGCTGCCCCTCACAGGAAGCAAGGGCAGCATTTCCTAATTGACTGCCTTTTTCAGGTTGGCTGAATGAACCATAGTTTAAATTAGCTAACTGTTTATAGTTGGTATTGGTGGAATATCCTTACTAAGAGTCTCTGAATTCCCCCCTTCCCCCACCTAGTATTTACTACTTCCCCATAAATCTTGGGTGTTTTCCAATTTTATTTAGTGCATCTGGAAGTATTTATCAGTTTGTCTAGTGTAATTTTTCATACAAACTGAAGTGAGGTGAAAGTGACAACCTACACGTCATCCAGGGCAATACAAAAACCAAAAACTTCTACCACCACTCCAATGAAATGTTGCAAGAGATGGCAACAAAGTCTTAGCTGTAGTTTAGCCATAGACAAGGTTTTCCGCTCTTTGTTCTTACAACCCATATGATGGGCAGTGTTAAGGTCTTTCTACTAGCAACCCAAGAAACAATAGGCTTCATTGAAAAGGGACAAGTCGTTGACCAAAATACAGCTACTCACCTGGTGGGAGATGTGGATAGAGTGCAGCTTCTCGCAGGCCTGTAGGTCCTGGTCTAGGGGGAACCTGAAATGGATCTAAAGAGCTGGGACCCTGTGTCTCTGGAATTTGGAGAGACTGCAGTTCACCTGTGGAGGGATCCACTTCTTTTGAAGTTAAGTGGGTCCAGTCCTCATCGCCCCCTGCAGAACTACTGGATTCATCCTGTTCCTGTAAGTGTAAAGAAAAAGGAGCCAATGTCTTGCACAGTTCTCCAGAGTAGGATGCAGGCTCTGCTATTATCTACCATGAAATGAAACAGGCTCATTCCTTTCCTTTAGCGAGAGGAGTTTATGGGATTGAATGCCAAGATACCAACAGAAGTAGCTACTCACAGATCTATCTACACTGTGATTTGTGCTATTAAAATCCATTCCAATGATGCTATTTAGTTTATAGTAGTAAGAACCAGTTATGGCTGTGCCTAACGGCAAAAATGAACTTGTCATGTCTGTCATCTAGTAAAGGAATTCACGTACCTGCGACAGGAAATTGCTGACTTCCATGGGTGTGGAAGGAGGCTCTATCACCATCTCCTGCATCTGCTCTGTAATAGAATTTTCTTTCTCAGGGACAGGTTCTTTACTACTCCCTTCTGGTTTGGTCTGGCCAGTCTGGCTAGTGGAACTACCTCCAGGCTCAGAATCACTCTGTGAACTTGGACAAGGGGGAGTCACTTTGCTTTTTTGTCCCCCATGTTCCACATCAATATCTACTTCAATGCCTAGGAAAACAGTTGAGGGGGAGAAGAGTCAGTACACTTGTCTCCAAAGCACAGTCCTGGAAGTTCCTTCAGTGATCTCACATTAATCCTAGTTATTTTAAAGGGGGGGGGGGGGAAGGAGAGAGAGAGGAGAGGGGACTGTTCTATTTTCCATCTACAGCTTCTCATCCCCTCCGGGATACTTGAAGGTAGAAGTCTAGCACTTACAATGCCAAATGGAGCACCAGCTTGGTGCACATTTTCATGTATACTGTTGTACACGTGCTTCATCTCCTCCTGTCAGAGAGCGCTGCTCACTACATTAATTTAGACTACAGGATGAAGGAGGGAATTATTTACAATCACAGGAGTCACTTGAGTTACCACCAATTGTTCCCAGTTAAATACTGACATTACACAATAAAGTAGCGTATGCCTCATCTTTTGCCTCAGTCTGAAGAATGAGGCTCCTAGTTGTCTCTAGTATGTTTGCTGGAGACTAGACCACATCTCAGTGAAGTGGGAGTGAGAGAAGGAGAAACATGGAGGTTGCCAAGTTGAGTGGCCAGAAATGGCTCAGGTCTCCTGTGAGGCAGAAGTAGGCCACTGTTCCTGTTGATACAAGCTATGGTAAAATGCTGGATTTGGGATAGTCACTTACCAAGAGGACTTAGCATGGCTGCAACACTCTCTCCAACATTCTTTAAAAAGGTGACATGGTCCTGCGGCTGGCTGTTAAAGGCTTCTTAAAAAAAAAAATTTAAGCTACTGCATGTTAACAGAAATTAAGAGTACAAAGTTCAAAGAGGGGTTTTGGTAATTCTACCAGACAATCCAATCCAATCCCTCTCACTCTCACACACACCTTCAATCATTAAATTCCAGCAAATCTCATTTAAAAATACTTAATCCAAAGACTCCCTACTACTCTGCAAAAGTTATCAGTTATTTTACCTTGAATACTTCATTGATTAAGTCATTCCATCCTTACCTTGCTCAGGGTCTGGATTTTGGGGTGCAGCACTGGCTTGTGGCTGCTCAGAGTTTCCACATGGAGGGGCAGGGCCAGGGTGCCCCCAGCCATGTATCCATGCAAAGGGTGGAACCCCATGTCTCATCTTACGAAGCCAGCGACCTCTGGGAAGCCACTGAGGGCGGGGAGAAGAAAGTTATGTAAGGCCACATATTTAGACAGAATATTTTAAGTATAAGCCACAAGATACAGCTGCCTGTTATCTACAGTTTATCCTACATTTAGCGCTCCTCTACAGGCTCCCCTCTAGACCAGTCTTTCCCCCTGCTAGAAGTTAGTTTTGCTCACCTCAAATGGATTGAGCAGCGGGCTTTGAAACATGATCATGTTGTGCTCCTTGTGGATGCCTTTCCCCTCACAGGTGCTGCATAGGTCATAGTCTGGGCAAATAGTGCATTTGAATCGAGCACCTACCACTGGTCCTTCACAGCCATCACAGATCACATTGGGGTGCACCACATTGGGGGGACGCTCCTGGTTGCACTGTGAACGGTGCTCACGTCTGCACTCCTTTTTCTCTAAAAAGAAAATGCCTTTATAGTGCAAGGAAACAGGTAGATTTCCATTTTAAGTATTTAAAGGAATATGATCCGTTGAAAGTTTCTATAGATGTATTTAGTAGTACATAATATGCACACACTAGTTTGTCACTGAAGCCCTACTAATAGAGGTGCCCATGTTGCCTACTTATGCACTATTCATAGGACTCATATTGAATAGGAATATGAGTGGACGGTGATGGAAGGAGCTGTCTGCACTATGATAGGTTGAGAATCCCTGCACTAGTTTATATAGATGTTACTTGCAATACTGTTTGGAGGTTAAAGGAACCACTGGATTTTAGTCGATTACTTCTTCAGAAAAAGATGAGCATCTGTTTGAGGCACATTCCCAGTTATTTTAATTCAGAGGTATAAGGCATCAATCTTCAAGCCATTATTTTTAGAGCAGTGGAAAGTTCTCCATTTACTTTAATCTTTCCATTAGTTTATCTGCACTCAGGCAAGAGTGCCACTTTTAAATTTTAAGTGTAGTCCTAGTTTTAGGAAGTTATGTGATTCCCTCTTGAGTTGGGCAAATCTTTTTTAGAGCTCTATCTTAGACTACTGCATTAGTGGTTTGGCTCAGACAAGAATAGATGCTCTTGCCCTCAACTTTTACTGCATACCACAACCTCTAGTCTGCAAGAGGAATTTTTTTTGGTATTCTTCTCTTCCTTCATTAGTCAAGACACTGCCTCTACTACACTGTTCGTTGTATGATTTAGACTAAAGTCATACACAGGAAGAAGCCAGCATAAATCTGGATCAGAGTATGATATTGAGACCAGTCTATTCAATAGCTCCTAACTAGTTCTCATGTGAATG